CTTCTCCCCCTCCCCCCCCCCTTTTTTTTACTTTATTTTATATATATATATTTTTTTTAGAGGAAGGATAAAAGGAAGGAAAGAAGGAAGGAAGGAAATATTTCTTATTCGCTGTTTGTATTTGTGGGTTTTTTTTTCTGTTGATATTGATATTGATATTGGAGATGAGATGAGATGAGATGAGATGTTGATATTGGAGAATGAGATATTGGAGAATGAGATTTTGGAGATGGGATTTTGGAGATGAAATTTTGTGGGGAGGAATTAAGTTAAGTTGGGTTGGGTTGGATTGGATTGGGTTATCTCTATATAGAGCATGTATATATATGTGTATTTTTACGAGTTCGACCTTTTTTTTTTTTTCTTTTTGCAGCTGTGGTCACTTTTTTTTTAAAAAAAATGGGGGGGGGGGGGGGGTTGCTTAATAGGAATTAACGTTGAAGGTTAAGGAGTTTGGATGAAGAGAAAGAAGAAAGTGGGAAGGAAGTGGAGAGGAGAAGGGGGGGGGGGGAGGGGAGGGAGAGGGAGAGGAGAGGGAATTAGGAATTGGGAGGGGAATGGAAAGGAAACTGAAAGGAAGTTGAATTGGGAATGGGGAATAGGGAGGAGAATAGAAAGGAAACTGAAAGGAAGTTGAATGGAAGTTGAAAGAATTTGAAAAAAGTTGAAAGGAGTTGAAAGGAGTTGAAAGAAGTTGAAAGAAGTTGAAAGAAGTTGAAAGGAATGAATTGGGATGCTTCGGACAAACAAAGGGGAGGAGAGGGGAGAGAGGAGAATAGAACAAAGAAAAGAAAAGGAAAGGAGAGGAGTTTTATGTTGGATGATACTCTGCTCGTTTCTCATTCCTTTCTGGAATTGGATGAGAATGATAGTGAGAGAGAGATTGAAGGGTTTTATTTCTGGATGAGAAAGGGAGAAGGAAGAGTGGACGACAGAGAAGAGAGAAGAGAGATTATAAGGACGGTGTTCTAAGGATTAAGATAGGGATTCGACTCTTAAATCTGCAACTTCTCGCCCAACCCTACCATCAACGACATCTCGAGAAAAGGCCGTTCTTTTTGGCCTCTGAAAGGGAAAGAAAAGGCCTGCTCAGATGGCGGCGGCCGGGGCGCCGGGACCGGCGACAGCAGCCCCGGCTGACATTGCTGCAGAGTTTAACTTCTGGAACAGAATAAACTATTCAGCGTTCCCGGCGATGCCGGTGGGGATGGTCATGGTAAGCCCCCCCCCCCCCTCTTCCTCTTCTTTCCACTGATGAGAGCCACAGCCATTATACCGACAACAGGCATTTGGGCCTGGGACCCTCGGACCGTTTCCCCCGCCGGACCCGCCCACGTGGGTTCCTCGGGTTCCGGGGCCCCGAGTGCGAATCGACCGAAGCTATATCAACAATGTGACTCGGCAGCAGCGCTTCGGCCGGGGGGCCATGGCGCGTGGCTTTGGCGACATGAGTCAATGGAGGGCCATCCGAATCCTCGGAACGGGAGCCTTCGGGGAAGTGACGCACTGGAAGTGGACCCAGGTCGGCAAAACCAGCCCGCGCTCCCGAGCGCTCAGCACGCGGCAGGGCGTCCGCGACGTCGCGGTCAAGACGGCCGCGAACCTGGCCTCCGCTGATTTTCTCCTCAACGAGTTCAACATGATGACGGAGCTGACGCTCCAGAACGACGATTGCCACGTCCTGAAGTGCTACAACGGTCTGCCGTACACCTTGGCGGACTGTCAGCGCGAGGGGATCGTGGCGGGGGTGCCGGGGGTGCCGGCTGGGCCTGGTGTGGCTGCCGTGCCCCCGACAGGCTGGTTGTCGAGGACGCGGAAGATCATCTTGGAGTATTGCAAGGAGGGGAGTCTGGGTGACTTGCTGGAGAGACGCCAGATTAGGTTAGTCATCTGCAGCCAACGAACTCCCGAGCCGCCGAGCTCTTGGGAGCTGATATGGATCTGGATATCTGATATATGTCATGTCCTTGATAGAAGCTTCCCCTTGACCGAGATGACCATGTGGCACATCTTCCGCTGCCTGGCGGACGGGCTCAGCATGCTCGAGTACGGCGCCGAGATCACCACGGCGCCTAATCTCCCGCCCACCGTGCCCCCGACCTTCGCGGCGGCTGCTCCGGCCGTGACACTGGCCCCGGCTACCCATCTTATAGTGCACCTGGACCTGAAGCCCGACAACGGTAAGGCTCCCCCTTAAATCTCCCCGTAGAAGGTCATCTCCGGTTACTGATAGACCACTGTTCTGCAAAGTCCTGATGGCCGATCGGGACCAACCTACGCATCCTGACTTGCCCGTCTTTAAGGTAAGCTATTCCAACCATCCATCCGTTCACCCATTCATTCATTCGTAAACTCTGATTCAACAAACGTAAAAGAGAAGAACCTTGATTCTTGATTCTTGATCTTTCAAAAACACTGACTAACTGCTGCTTCTTCTCCCTTCAGATTGCCGATTTCGGCAACGCAATCAAATTCAGCCGGAATCCTGCTCAGGTCTTCCCCTTGAACGATTTTGTGAAGGATCGTGGGCGGCGAAGAAGAGGCACTCAGGGATACTACGCACCCGTAAGGTTATTTTATTATATTTTCATAAATGAAAAAAAGGGGAACGGGGAGGAGAGCGGAAACGCTTTGCCCAGATCAGTCCGTCATGGTAGCTCTTGGCTGATAGAAAATATTCGTTACAGGAGCAATTCACGCTGCGCTGGAACTATAATAATTTCATGACCTCGCCTGTGTGTGGAAGATACGGCTCTTGCACGAATATCTGTACGTACCGCGCCCTAAAACCCCGTCTCGTCTATTTCATCCCATGCCTCCATCCAACTACACTACCAGCTCGCCAACCACCCACTAACCTTCTCCCCTCCCCTTCCCCCGATACAGGGCAAGCCGCAGCCACAATGTACGAGGTCGGTCTCTGCGCAGACCCCAACCGGCCCGTCGCCACCACCGGCGTACGCGCCGACCAGCCCTACCAGCTCCCGCCCGGACGCACGATCAAGGGCGCGCCCGCGCTCGGCGTGCTCTTCGGCTTCGAAATCGACGCCATGACCTACTACTCGGCCTTCTTCCGCGAGACGCTCATGGAGTGTCTGTACGAGGTGCCGGCTCACCGGCCGACGCTGCTGCAGCTGAGGGCTACGATTGAGGATGGCATTGCGAGGTGTGCGCTGGCGGGTGGTGCGCAGGCTTTGGAGGATGACTGGAGCGATATTCAGGATCCTATTCGGTAGTGAGTTGGTGGGGGCAGAGGGAAGGGGAGGGGAGTGAAGGAGAAGTTTGAGCTTTGGCATTTCTTTTTTTGGAGTTTATCTTTTTGAAATTTCTCTTTTCCCCCCTTCCTTTCCTTCTTCAGACAATTTAGAGATCGAAACAGACGGCTTTACTTATCATCATAACGTCCGTCTACAAGCAAGGGAATCAAGGAAGGAAGAGGTGGATTGTATTGAATTTATGCTGCAAACGGATAGACAAGACGTCTACATCTTACCTCGCTTATTCTCGAGGTCCGAGTGGGATATTAAGCGAGTTTTGGAGATGGAAAAAAAAAAATGAAGGAGATGTAGATGAGAAAGGGTTATAGGATATAAATATAGATATAAATAATCGGGCTTGCAATTCGCAGGTTTGAAGATTTATTTATAAGTAAACTGAATTTGATGAGATGAATCTTTCTGGATTTTTGTTTTTTATGTTGGGTAGGGGCAGGCTTGGGATGGGGATGGGGATGGCAATGGGAGTGGGAATTGTGTGTTGGGGTAGGTGCGTTTGGTTTTTGGGATTCTCATTTCGTTTTGTGTTTGTGGGCTGTAATGGAGGGGTTTATGTTTATGTTTATGTGTATGAAGAAGTAGGAGAGGCGGG